CTTGGCGAACCCTGCTTTGTGTAAAATATGCCACTGCATTCTCTTCAGTATTAGGCAAATCCCAAATTTGAATCATTTTACAACGGAGTAATAAAAAAAAACTATATTTCAACACACTAAAGAAAACTAACTCAAGGACAGTAAATAGGATAAAATTTGCGATTATTGGCGAAGAAGCCAACTTACAATATATGGGGTACAATACACCTTGACAATAGTATCGGATTTGGCGAAAATGTTCGATGGGATAATTCCAAAGTATGAAAATGGTCAGTGGAATAATCCAAAAGTGCCAAAATTTCTAATAAATTTTGTAAATAAAATTAATGAATGTAATAAATAAATCAAATTGGTGAACCGCAATATCCGAGCTTTTTAGCATTTCCCTGAAATTGAAAATAGTGGTGTTATAGAGAGGCAATGATTACTAGTACCTTTGGCTCAACAGTTAAAATTATAGTAGTGTAAAACACACTATCTTTAGATCATTCCTAAGGATAAATGCTACACTGTTACCAATAGTCCACTAGTTAACAATCAAATCAAAATCATGTTAACTAAACTAAAAAAAATAATTTCATAGCAAAAATATATAATGGACTAAGATTTATTTCAGAAACTTTATCTTACCTGGCAACAAGTATGCTTTCACAATTTTCTTTTTCTTGATTTTTTCCAAGTGCAATGGGGGCTCCAAGAACTCCCATGATATTCCTGGTTCTGGATCTTCTACTTCTAAAACTGAATTATTGCTTTGCCCCCTCTCTGTCATCTCAATTGCGGATGAAGTGTCATTTGAAGCCTCAATTTGGAGTTGTACAGATGAATTATCACTAGATGAAGTGACTGCATCATCCTTGGTATCCATGGTTACATCATCTGTATTATCAGCTGATGATTGTAATGAAATATCATTAGGTAGAATTTCCGCTTCTGTATCCATTGCAAGGTCTGTCATTGTCTCTTTATCAGCTGATGGCATTAATATTGTGCAGCAACTAGCTGAACTGGTATCTATTGCAAGGTCTGTCATTGTCTCTTTATCAGCTGTTATGTAGCAATTAACTGGACCATTATCAACAGTAATTGTTGCATTAGTACCAACATTAACTGCAGGAACTGTTTCCTCAGTGGAAGTAGAAATTGAAGCTGTACTAGATGCATTATAATTAGAACTATCTGAATTTCTGCTTGATGAATTATTTATGGCGTAAGGCATCTCTGGAGTACCATCACCCAACATAGCACTTGCAGGTGTTTCAGTGGGTTTCATATAACTGCGTGAATTTGCATTAGCTGGTAATTCAGATGATTCTTGTAGATTAATTTTCATAAAAATATTGAAGCATTCGACTTCATCGAAAAACTCTTTGTGATCACTGACAAGCATTGCAAATTCTTTTGAATTTAAAGCCGTAAAATTAAAGAAAGGTAAAAAAGGACTGATAACTTTGCTGGGAATATTTATATTCTGCAACGAGCAATAGGATTTTGCCCACTTAAATACCCAAGTCAGCAAATCATTCTCAGAAGAAAGCCATAATGATGGAAGTTGAAGCAAAGTTTCAACCATAGTTGGCGTAACGGAGGTAATATCTTGTGAATTTAATATTTCCTCTGTTTCAGATTGTAAGACTTTGAAACATTGCCCTTTCAAACAATCTGAATTTATCAAAACTGCAGCATCCAATAATTCAAATACATTATTTTTATTAGGAGATGAAGAATTTAAAATTTCACAGCAATGAGTTTTGAGTCTTTGCACTCGATATTTGCAGGCAGCTTCGTATATGCTTAAGACAAATTTAACATCATTTTTACTTTCTTCAAGCTCCTTTTTAGAACCGTACAGATAGCTGAAAGAAAGAAGAAAAAAAACATCTTTTACAACAGGAATCCTTATACTAAGTTTAAACAAAAATGATTGAAATAACAGTTCTCACAATGAAACTATAGTTCGCTCCACCTCCTCAGACGCAGAGTTGATTTCAGTGCAGGAGTAAGAGGAGAAACATAAACCGCACTTGAAATTGAGACAACGCTTAATGCAAACCAAACACAAACAGTAAATTCTTTTTCAGTAATTTACTTTACTTTATCATCTGCTATTATTGCTTTCATTACTCCAGCTAATTAAATAGATTTGAAATTTAAAAACTGTTGTTTTCCCAGCAAAATATCTCAAAAAAGGACAAACTATTCACTTAAAAGAGAGAAATATTATCAAATTTAGGAAATTAAATGCAATTGTTAAAAAAATGCACATAAAGATTGCAAAATAAATATTTTTATCATATGATTGCCAAATAGCAACCTTGTCCAGAATTGTTCACACCCTTCTCCCAAAAATAGCGAAATAGTATTGTCGGATACCAGGTGATGAAGGCATAGCCAAGAGACAACTTCTGGCTAGCGAGCTATACATGATTAGACATAAAAATATCAGTGAAAAAGACGAAATGGGGTGAGAGATACACAGATGTGTGGCGTAACTACTTATATTAAACATTAATTCACTGGTATATGGGTGATTCTCACGAAACATGACAATTCAGACCAAAAAATTTCTTCAAATTTTAAAGTCTTCAAAATAATCTAAAAATTTTTTTGTATACTTCTTTAGCTACACTTTTTAATATCTTATAGACATCAGTGTAGTTTATTGACATTTGCTCGAGAAAAAAAAATAAAATAGAAATTCACCAAATCTGGAATGCCAGGAAAATGACATATTTGCTTAGAAGTTTAAAAAACAGTCATTTTAAGTTAATAGTAAGTAACTCAACTTACGCCTTTATGTTAGATGGACCATAAATTGTTTAAATTAATTCTTTTTATCCACTGTAGAAAGAAACAAAAAAAATTTTGTTGCTGATATGTACAGAATAAAATTGTGTACAATAATCAATCAATAAATAAATAAATAACTTTGATTACATCCAAGCATATTACAATCATACACAAACTTGGTATTAGGTTAATAGTTGCTTTCCCTCTTTACAGTATTAGCAGTTAAAAAGAATTTCTGGTAACACTTTAATGTCCTGGCATTCGTAAGCCAGGATAATGACAAATTCGCCATTTTATAGCATATAACTTTAATTTAATATTTTGGCCGAAGACATTTATATTCTGCAGAAAACAACAGCATTTCTTAAAATAACTCAGATAAATCTATGTAGTTTTTGTTATTAATGATTTCAAGAAGCCAGGAAAATGACAGCATAAAAACCTACTCACATTGAAAAAATTTTTGAAATAGATTTTGAGCCAGAAAATTGGCTCTTTATTCATGCAACAAGACATGTTCAGATAGGAGGGTATTTAATCAATCTATTAAACATAAGATATTGATTCCTGGCGCTATCTATTTTGGTTATAAATCACTAAATAAAAGTAGCCAGGAAAATGACTGATTTTCATGGGACAAACAAATTATTGACAGAAAAAAAAAATTTTAAACGAAGTTTTAATAAACAATACCCCCTGCATATATTCTAGAAATGCTTACATAGGATAAGATAAATAAAATTAGATTTTGAAAAATGTATGGGAAGTTTTGAAGCTAGTTATTATAGGAAATATTGTTTGGGACATGCCAGGAAAATGACATTTTGATATTCAATTAAACTTTTTAAGTATACAAAACAGTCAATGCTAGTGCAAAGTCACTTTAAAATGCTAACAGCAATACTATTCATTAATTATTTTTAAAAAAAAGTTCTTTTAGTATTATAGTATTAGATCTTGGAGCAAGGGACAGTGAATTGTCGTGTTTCGTGAGAATCACCCATATAAGACATGCTAACTTGATTCAATCATGAGGTACCTTTTGATTGATGAAGATTGGCATGGTCGTTAACTCCGCCGCCACATTGGTGAGCCGGACGTGATTTGAACACGCAGTAACGCCCACTTCGCAAAATAACTTGACGGTAACGCCTACTTCGATGGATAGTCCACATTGAACAGTTGACTTGCTACTTGTGACTGCAAAATGCAACACAGAAGCAACAACGAAAGCTACGACGTGATGTTAATACACCTCTCACATTCAGCACTCAACGAACAGCTCTCCCGGTCTTTCACAAGTACAGCAACTAGTGGTATCCGTCCATTGAATTCTATCCCTGATAAAATTCTGGTGGGGGAGTATTGTGGCGTAACTACCACTATGAATATTAAACATCAATTCACTGGTATATAAGACATGCTAACTTGATTCAATCATGAGGTACCTTTTGATAGATGAAGGTTGGCATGGTCGTTAACTCCGCCCCCACAGATGTAATGTAATCTTATTTATAAGTCCATTAAAAAATATTATCTACAAATGTTGCCTTAACTGTATCAGGGTTGCCTCTCCAGAGAACAAGGAAAGCCTGAATACAAAGGATTTAAAAATCACCATAAATAACAGGTAATTTTTAGTTTTTCTTTACAAACAGGAAAAATACAGAAAATTTTGTATCTTATTTTCGTCTTTTAAAAAATGGTGACCACTCAAAGCGTAATCTATAGGATATTTAAGGATGATATTTCAGCTATACTAAACTATTGTACATTTATTATAGCAGTATTTAAGTATGTTCAATTGTTCCTTTTTTTCCCTCTAAGTTTTTAAAGCAATTAAAACTGCTCACACAAGAGCTCAGTAATTGTTTTTTTTCTTCTTAATATATTGTGTATAATATGTACAGGGAATTTTTTTTCACCAGATTTCAGTGGTAACCCTGTTTATTTATAGACTTTATCAAGGGCGCCAGCAGAATAATATAAAAGGGGGTGCAACCCTCTAGCAAACCAGTAACCCCNAAAAAATTAAATATTCTGTTATTACATATACTTTCATCTGTTAATTTTTTTCAACATACATTTCTTCATTGTTAACAAGATATTTAAAAAAAAAATTATGAATTTACGTGGTATGAAATGTGGAGGAATAGTGAAAATTCTTATGAATCCCTCGAATATATCGATTTAGTTATTGAGGCTACACTGTTTTATCTAGCTGTAGCAGAGGCAATCAAAATTGGCCTAACTCTTCCAGCTACTACGTGCACTATTGAACTCACTTTTAGTACTATGTGACGCATCAAAATATGGAATCGGTCTAAAATGGCTCAAAAGAGATTAAGTTGCTTGTGCAAGCTCAGTCTGCATAAGAAAAGAATCAAAGATGACTCAGAATTCATTTAAAAATGTATAAACAGATTTGGACAGCTAACAAGACGATTACAATTCTTTTTTGATTAAACAATTTTTTAATTTTTACGTATCAATAATTACTTAATTAGTATTTGTTTTTGAATAAAAATATTTTTAATAAAAAAAATTTTATACTCCATAATTGTTTATAAAAGAAAGCCAGGGGGGTGCAAGTGCACCCCCTTACACCCCACTGCCGGCACCCTTGGCCTTTATAGATGTTTCTGAAATATTTATGAAAGTTTTTGCACTATAAAAAAATATATTGCATAACCAAAATTATTTTTAAAAAAATTATCAGCTTTATTATAAAATATTCCTACCTTAAAAAGGCGTGAAAAACACTTGGACTTATATCCAATATTTCTATAACATCATCAACTGCATTACTATTTTCTTGAAACTTCTTAGCCCAAACAGGACTCCAAATAGATAACACTATTTTATGAGCAGTAAAAGAACTCCAAGTACTACCACATTTGACTTTAAATGTTAGATCAAAATGTTTGTTGCTTTGGAAGAATTCTAAAATATACGCTGCAGCAGTCGCCATCTAGAAAATTTACAATTAAAAAAACATTTGCTATCAAATATATTAATCTGTATTATAACAATTTCTAAATCTTCTTAATAGAACAACAACAACAACAAAAAACTCCATTAATTTTACATCAAAAATAAATTAGCTTGTATCCAGGTTAGATTTTTTTAAGAGGTACTTATTTTGTGAAAATTTAGACATAATTTCTGAAAATTAAAAATTATATTAAAAATTCAACACAAAAATATGGTAAAATAAGAAAATATTTTCAAAAATTGTCACGACAAATAAAAATCATTTATGACTGGTAAATTTCTATATATATTTTTTTTTCCATATGTTCAAAAACAATTTTGCTATTGTAAAATTTTGGGATTAAAATTGTATCCAAATTTAAGAGTCCATAAAAATCAATATCCATAGTTTAATTTCAACTGGAATTTAATAAAGACATACATTTACAGTACTTAAGTTGAATTTATGAAGGTAGTAAATTTGCCCATGACAGATCCCTGGTATCACTTTCCTAAATTATTCTCTCTCTTTTTTTTAAATGCAATAAACATATTAGGAACAACATAAAAACTATCTTTACCAAATTCTATATTTCATGAAAAAAATCTCAATTTCAAATTCAATAACATCCATAGTAGGTGATACAAACATTAAACACCATATTTTATTAATGTAATTATTATTATTTTTTTTTATAAATTTTATCTTTTATGATATTCCATGTTTTGAAATAGAAAAGTTAGCACTTCCAATAATTTTAGAGGCAACCAAAGCTTACAGATGAGCCAGTTAATTTATGTTAAATTTAAAAGGAATCTACTGAATTAAATATTTACAACATAAAAATGCAACAAAACCATACGTGAATTGATTAGTTACTCACTTAAAACCTGGACGAGAATCAAGGCAGATTCGGTAAACACAGCTGCTATTCAAAATCTCCAATTAACAATGACTCGTTCCAAATGTGTTGAAATTAAACAAAAGTTTAATTAAGAGGAAGTATTAACCCGGTTGGCAGGTTATTGATATTTAACCCAGTCAAGTGGTGCAGTCAGAAATCTAAATAAAAAAAGTTTTAAATAATACATTACTTTTAAATGAAATTGTTGAATAATACTTATAAATTGATAAAAAAGGAAAGAGCTGGTATGAATGACTGTGCCAAAAAAGTTCATAAAGCATTATTTTGAACAATATATATATATATATATATCATAATAAATAAATACAAAGAGGACAAAAATAAAAATAACAAAAAAAACAATAAGTTTTATTTATTGCGAATAAGCTGTAAGTAAATAGAACTCATAAAATAAGTTCAAAATGTAGAGAGAAAAAAACTACAGAACAATAAAAAAGGGAAAAATAAAAATCCGAAAAAATGAAGAAAATTAATAAAAATCCGGAAAATAAAAGATATAATCTTCTCATCAGCTCACACGATTATATCTGCAAAAAAGTAGTGCTTTCTAATATTGTATCAGAATAGCCAAGGCAAAATATATCAAAAAAATAGTGTGAGGAGCACTCAAAAAAATTTTACAACAAATAAAATAACACATTCAGTAAAAATATCACGCAATAGAAAGCACTCTTCTTTGCTTATATAATCGTGTGAGCTGATGAAAAGATTAGTATATCTTTTATTTTCCGAATTTTTATTATTATTTTTTTTCTTTCTCCCCTTTTTCATTGTTCCATGCACTGCACCATTCTTTCTATGTTTTCTCTAGATACAAATACAAAAATTATAAGACAATACAAAAATTATGAAAAATATTTTTTTTAAATTTAAAAAAATCCAAGGCCGAATTTTTATTATTATTTTTTTTCTTTCTCCCCTTTTTCATTGTTCCATGCACTCCACCATTCTTTCTATGTTTTCTCTAGATACAAATACAAAAATTATAAGACAATACAAAAATTATGAAAAATATTTTTTTTAATTTTAAAAAAATCCAAGGCCGAATTTTTATTATTTTTTTTTTCTTTCTCCCCTTTTTCATTGTTCCATGCACTGCACCATTCTTTCTATGTTTTCTCTAGATACAAATACAAAAATTATAAGACAATACAAAAATTATGAAAAATAATTTTTTTAAATTTAAAAAAGTCCAAGGCCGAATTTTTATTATTATTTTTTTTCTTTCTCTCCTTTTTCATTGTTCCATGCACTGCACCATTCTTTCTATGTTTTCTCTACATACAAATACAAAAATTATGAAAAATATTTTTTTAAAATTTTTTCTGCACATGCACAGTATGAAAGTAATTTGAATACTTATATCTAGCGCAGTCTTAAACAAATTTTTTCTAATTTTAAAACAATAATTTTGCTATTAATTTTAAATTGTCTCAAAAATTTTGTTTAATTTTATTGAATATTTTTAAAGTTATGGCCAAAAAAACGCAAGACAAAAAAAAATTAGTTTTTTATAAATATGCCTATATTTTCATAAATAATTAAGCTACATTTATGAAATAGTATGTAGCTATTGCAAAGAACAATCAAAGTAATAGATACAAGTTACATGCCTATTGCTTGATTTTCCGGCATAGGGCGTCCAAAAATACTTGATTTTCTTCTGTAATTTACAGTCGATCACTCAAACATTTAAAAAGTTTTTATATATA